GTTTTATTTTTTTTTTGTTGTTAAGGCAGTTTACATTGCTGAAGGAATTTTATTAGAATTGTCAATGAGATTATATATTGATAATCCCTACTGTTTGTAATTACATAAAGAGTATACAACAAGCCATATATACAACTTACAAAAGAGGAATTGAATAATTATAGGCTTTGTGAATAATTTGCTTAATTAGTTTAACATCAGGAATTAAAAATGCTAGATCAAGTTTATTCACAAATCGACAGAAGGCTTTATCTTGAATAATAATCAAAGGATATGAATTTGTTATAAGCCAATTAACAAGTAATTCTTGTAGTTCTTTTTGTTGTTTTTCATTATGAAGTAGAGTGGATTTTTGAGCCTAAATTATATTAATTAAATTTAATAGGTATTAATAACAAATTTATATTAATACATATTAATTTATCATTATTAATTAATATAACAATATACCTTTTTAGAATTTTGATCAGATTTTGTTACACCATATTCAGCACTTAAATATCTAATAAGATTACTAGTTGAAGAACTAGTTTTGTATATTCTTCCACATTCTTGACTATCTACTTCAATTTTGCATATTGAATATATGATCTATTTATTATTTTGTTTATGAAGTTCTTGTTGATAGAATATCCACACCTAACTAGTCTTTTTTGATATGTCCAAATGAAGAATTTTTTCTTCAAAAACTTTATTAGTTTCATTTATATCAGAAATGTTAGAATTAAATATGTTTCGTCTTTTGTTAAAAGTAGATATTTTTTAATGAAAGTATTAATATTAAAAACAATAGTGATAATTTATTATTTATTATTAAATAATAAAAATAAAAATAATTGATGATTTATTTATTATGTATTTATAACCACTGATTAAACGGATGATCGGATAATTAATGGATAATCAAAGTCTATCCGATCATAATTACTTTTTTAAATAGTTTAGCTAATATCCGTGTAGGATCGAATAGATATTCGGATAGTTAGGATTTTAAGACTACGGATCGCTACTCTAATCTAGATCTAGCGTGGGTGCGATTCTCTTATTTATCGCGCTTTATTTTAATTGGCTAATTTTGCATTATGATTTGTCGCTCACCAATCAAATTTCAAGATAAAAAATAGCGAAAACCCCAACTTTTTTAATGAAATCTTTAATAGCTCAAGATTTTACATAGGAAACAGCCTTTCGTGTTCTAATTAAAAAAATTCCTTGCAAAATTTTGATATAAACTATGCTCGCACTAATTCGAAATCGAACCTACCTTAACTAAATCGAAGTAAAACTTTTTGTTTTAATTTTACGTTATAGGTGTGCGAGATATAAGTGTGTAGCATGGTGCGATATATAAATTTATTCTATTTAAAAAAATAAGCAAATTTCTAAAAAAAAAAATAAATTTTTTTATTTATCATTTGAGTTATACGTATTATCATACTATCAAATCATGTGACATGCGATATTAGATAAATTAATTTAGTTCGATAAAGGTTCGGGCATATATTAACCAAGACCTCCCCAGACGCCACGAATTCTTCGGGCAAGTTGGATGTCCTTTTGCATAATTGTGACGCGTTTCGCATGAATTGCACATAAATTGCTATATTTTGGATAATTTGAGTAAAAATTTTTTTTGATTCTATAACGAAAGTAGGATAATAAATATACATACGCATCTTCAAACAAATGTACGAGGTAAGCCTCACATGCTAAAAAAATAAAAATAAAAATAAACGTAAATGACTAAAAAAATATAAATAGCAATAAAAAATATTTCTTTTTTTTTAAAAAAAAGAAAAAAAAAAATTAAAAACGAAGACTTAGACTTACCTTCTTGAAGGGCCAAAATTGCAGATGATTGCCATCGATAACCTACAGTAGCATCTGGCTCCATAAGTTCTATAGCAATTTCTCTAACCTAAGATAAATCAACAATATTTTAAACATATAAAAAAAAAACCAGAATAATGATAAATGAATAGAATTTACACAAACCACACGTGAAAATGGTAATTTTCTTAAAAGGAGATTAGTAGACTTTTGATACTGTCGGATTTCGCGTAAAGCTACTGTTCCAGGTCGATACCTCCTGGGTTTAGCAGGTGCCACTGGATCGCCAGCTTTAACATGAATTATATTTCGTTAAAATATCAAAGTTTTTGACCAGCGAAAAAATCGTTCGGAAACCAAACTTACGTTTAGATCTTCTCTTACCACTGCTTGATAAATTACTACGCCTTGGCAACTTTTTTGTTGTTGCCAATTTACGTTTAGGTTGTTTACTGGAAGAGACTTGGGCATTTCTTGCCATGCCTTTTGCGTCTCTTTTTTTTTTTTAGTGGTTTTTTTTTGAATTTAAATTTCTTAGTATTTCGGGTATGTTAAACTGACGCGTTCTCACGGTAATAATGCGCGAGGTTACTATGACTTATTAGGATGTAATCACATGATTCGTGTAACACTAGAAATTCGAACAAACCGAATTTTTATTGCCAAACTCGTATCCGATAGATTCCGAAATCACGGTTACACAAGTTATTTATATGGGCAATTGAAAAATTGATATATGATAGTAGTCTAAAAACCGGAATTTTCACAATCTGTTTAACCATAAGTTTCACACTAAATGTACTTTGATCAATTAA